AATTTCGGCGCGCTTCGCGCCATTTTGTCTCTTAACCCCCCCCATTTGCAAAATCCTGGATCGGTCCTCCCCTGAGTCCATTAGTCGGCTAGATTCGGTCCAGTCTGGCCTGCGAGCGAGCTAGGAGCCCATGTAGCTTACCACCGCGGATCTAACCTAAAGCCACTATGGTTACATACAAAAACCCCTTGCCTGGTTACGTCATAGATACTATTTATATATATGCATGTGATTTTTTTAGGCAGTGGCTATTTTTACGGGCCCGTAATCCGACCGTGGGTGGCTATTTTTACGGCAGGATGATTTATCTATGATTTACTCATTTTAAAACCTGGGAAACACTCTAAAATAAAAAAACTAAGCCCTAAACCAACCTTGGGGACTCCTAACATAACTAGGGGGCTCATAAAATGACTGGGGACACTCTAAAAAAAAAACCGCCACCCTAACCCCTAAACCCTAAAAACAATAGCTAAACCCTAAAAACAATAGCTAAGTAGGAGACTCCTAACATAACTAGGGCTCCTAACATAATTAGGGAACATAGCGAAGTAGAAAGATAAAAAAATCAATTTGTTAAAGTCAAAATTATAAAAAAAAAAGAAATGGTCTGAGCTGAATTCGAACCAGTGCCCGTCCGTGTCCAACCCAGCGCCTTCCCCACTGTGCCACCACGATCCTGCTGCCTTATTGATGCTGATTGTCATGTTTATACGTCACTTCATTTCTATATTCCCTGCCGTAAAAATAGCTGTATACAATGAGATTACGGGACCGTAAAAATAGCCACTACGTTAATTTAAATGTTTTAAATTTGTATTAAATTTTTTATCCTAAGATATGATTGTTCTGTGAGACGTGATTACTAATTTTGTGAGCCTATGATGGCTCAAATTTTCTCCCCGGCCTCTTCTACGCTACTACTTTAGAAGCTGCATACACTTGATATATATAAATTGCATGAAATCATTAGAACATGTCAAAATGTGTGTGTGTGTGAAACTGCTATTGGGCCTAGAAAGCATAGGCGGCTACGAATCTTGAATTAACCAGGGCTCATTAATTATTTATAAAAATTAGGGGTGTGGTCAATTAATAAAATGACTGAAAGTCCTTATGATAGCTCACAGAAGCCAGTTACCACACTAAAATAACTGTAAAGTGGAGCTGATAGCAAGTATAAACAGTTGTGGCTATAAAAAATGAATTCTAGTGATGATATCACTCCTAATAATAACAAAACACACCTTTTGGGTGTGGTTTTGGTTGGAAACTACCAGGGCAAAGCCCTGGCTTGCCCGGGCCTATAGCCGCCTATGCTAGAAAGATTGATGCCTTGCATGATTGTTGAGGGCCATGTTGCTCCATTACCCTTGCCACGTGTAGGCGTATGGGCAAGTTGATTGAGCCACACCTTTCATACTTCCTCTTGCAATTGTGTCTTTGTACGAGTTGTCTTTGTCTTGCTAGAGGTCTCTGGTCTCGTTGGCATGGAGCTTTTTCAAGTTACAAAAGCTGGTTGGAGGAAAGAATGGTCGCTGCTAAGCATCTAAAAGGGATTTGGTGCAATATGAAGCATATTCTTTATTACATCTTGCTTTCTGCATTAGCCCATTCGGCATACTCCATAGAAAGTTGCCGTCCACGAAAATTATTTCAGAGTCAGCCAGGCTCAGTCACGCCCTTGCCGTATATCATTCTTTGACGTATTCATTC